TCCTCCTCCTCTTCCTCCTCTTCCTCCTCTCTCCTCCTCCTCCTCTTCCTCCTCCTCTTCCTCCTCCTCTTCCTCCTCTCTCCTCCTCCTCTTCCTCCTCCTCCTCCTCATCCGTCACAATGAAATAAATTAAAACTTAGAAATATTTATTTATCTGCGTCTAAATGCATTTTATTTAAAAAAAATAAGTTCATTATTCATGGATGTGATTATTCCAGATTCATCTTAAACAGATCATCTCTACTTCGGTGTTTTACGCCGTCTGATTTATGCAGTGCTCCCTCTAGAGTAGGGGTGGGCAACTGGCTGCCCGGGGGCCACATGCGGCCCCTATCAACCCTCATTGTGTCCCTCAGGTCAATTCATTGAACACATGAAGAAAACATGACAAAATCTGAAATGAAAACCAGAAATATGTCCATAATAATATTTGATCACTGGTATATGTTGAGGTAAATTTGAAACATAATTGATTTGAATCGTTTTTGCATCCTACAATTTGGCCCCCTGGCAGTGAGAATTAAATGAATGTGGCCCTTGCTGTGACCATCCCTGCTCTAGAGGAATCCTCGGGTAACACGTTATACAGAGGCCAGTATGTGACGCAGCAGCAGGTCGTCTACAGGTCGAGTGATTAAAAAAAAAAAACTATTCGAGCCTTAATGTATCTCATGTACACGTAGCGTGCACAACAAACGCTCCAAACCGCCGCAGGATAAACAGTTCTGATGTCATGTGTGACATCACGTACATGTAGTTAAAAGCAAGTACACTCTGGGCTTTCATTTTAGAACATTATTTCCACACTAAAAGCATCAGGACCTCTAAGTAGCTAACAAAACAGGACTGGGCCTGTGGGTCTCATCCTGCTGGTCGTTCACTCTTCAAACAGCAGATAAACATTAAAAACACGTGATGTCACTCTGATGTCACATGTTGCTTTAGTGTCAAACTCCTGAAGGTCACGTTTAAAAACTGTCTCTCAAAAGCAGATTTTTTTTTTAAATCAGCTTCATCGGAATGAGTCCCGGGGTCAGAGGTTAAACTCTTTTCCTCTGACAGTTAACGTTCAGGTTGATATGATATTGATTCCAGCTCTTCTTTAAAGTGATGAAGTTGAACTGTTGAACTCTTAATTCCTTCTCCTCTTTATTTTTTTTTGTTTTGTCTGATAAATTCCTCATTTTGTTTTTCTCTGATTATTTTGCAGCTCTCTTCTATCCACCATTGAATACTCTTTTATTGTGTATGACTTGTAATGTTCAAAATGTTACGCACTTAAAAACATAGGATGACATCACTCAAAAAGGCTGTCGAACTAACAAATTCAATATTTGAGTCGCATGTTTGAAATTCCATCATTTCCCATTTAAAAATACAACTTTTTAGGCTTTTATTTTGAAGGTTTGTACTGTCTGTAAGATGAGAGTACTATCTGTGTAGGTATGAATGTACACATACATGCATGCAAACATAAATTCATAAACATCTTTGAATGTTGAATGAATTAACAAGCAAATTGAAGATTCAAACAGTTTTTTTATTTTATTTTATTACAATTTTAAAGCATTAAGAAAAGTCAGAAAATGATGAATACGCCGGATAGAAAAATGAAAATGTGATTGTAGATTTGATTCTGATTGCTGTGTCGACGGCCACAGGTATAAAATATCTTAGGTAAAAGTGTCACAAATCAAACAGCGAGTGTGTGCAGCACACTGACATCAGGCTAAAGGCATTCTGGGTAGAGGAGTTCATGATTTGGCAGAGTAATAGTGATCAGGTGCTCAGACAGGTCCATCTGTGCAGTAGGGTTAGCATCGTCCACCTTCATGGCTTGGGGGGATTGTAATCTGAGGGGTGGTTTCCCTCACGGAGGCGCCCGAAGCAGCCGAGCAGCAAGTCGACCGCCATGCTGACGGTAGACTGAATGCCCTCCTCGGTCTTACCAAGGAGAGGATTCACCTCCACCAGGTCCACTGCCGACAGACGACCTGCGGTGGACACAGGTCACATGAATGTACACTTAAAAAACTTTTTTTAAAGACGCTTTTTGGCAGCCATCTTTGTTTGGATTCGATTACAGAATTTGAGCACCATGTTTCAGAGGACGTAAAATAAAAGAGATCATGAAAGGATTTTAATGAAGAATGAAAATTAAAATAACAGTAAAAAGGAAACATTTTAAGAATATTTTTTTTCTGTCTTGGTCTGTTTTTTGGCCGTACCTGTCTCACGGAGGCACTCTGTGATGTAGACCCCCTCCCTGTATGACAGCCCGCCCACTACAGGTGTCCCGGTTGCTGGGGTAACAGTGGGGTCGATGGCATCGATGTCGTAGCTCAGGTGGATCGGTTTATTCCCTCTGAGAGAATTTTAAAAAACACATTCAGTGAGTTTCTCTGATTTGTTCGGTGTCTGATTGTCTTTGTTTAAAAATACTTTTTCTAGCTTTACTTTAAAGGCCACATAAAATCTATAATCCACTTCTCCATGTTCCTCTAACTCTAACATGTGTCTCTAGTCCATCTACAAACCCCCCAATGATGAGAAAAGTCCATCCTCTCTGTCTTCTGCCTGCTCCACTTTTCAGAAAATGTGTGCTCAAACAGGCCGTTTGGAGAGTTTCCCTTCATGACATCACAAAGGGCAGTAGCCCCTCCCCCAGGTGGGTGACACTCCCACAGCTAGGTGTTTGTTCTGCCCTCTGAGTCTGCCTTCTCACCATAAACAATAGGACATGGAGCGAGAAAGACCAAGACCCAAGCCCTTCCAGAGAGGGGGCGTGGTCAGACACAGCTTATTTACATATTTAAAGCTACAGACACAGAAACAGCCTGTTCTGAGTGGAAAGAGCAGCAAGAGTGAGAGCGATGAGTGGGTGGAGCTCACCTGGAGGACAGGTAGTCACACGTCTCCTCCATCACTCTGGACACTCCGAGCTGATCCACCTCTGACATAGAGAACATCTTCACCCCGAGCTCCTTCAGGATGTAACTGTCAAAATAATACAGAAATACATGTCGAGTGTTTGATATGAAACTGATAAGGACTGTACATAAAGTATAACCATATTTAAGTAGATTAATATTAAATTCAGGACAAGTTTAAAAACAAGTTCTTGTTCTACAATCAACATCGTCAACTGTATTGAAGGCAATAGCCTGTTAGCTTGTTAGCAGCCTGTTAGCTGAGCTAGCACATTGTCATACAGTCTCTCCAAAATCCGCCGCAACAGTTCTATTTATTACACATCGAATATCACAGAGATTCCCACAGGAATGAGTGGACTTCCTGTCATCTCAGTACAAATTAGTGCATTGAAACGAGGCCCGGAATGAATTCCATACATTCCTGCGGGAGTCTCCGTTCAAATAAAACTACAGAAAATGGTGAAATATACTGTATGTAAACTTACTGCTCTCCAGGGTCCACGTCTCTCAGGCCGATGTAGACCAGATCTTTGACCGAGATGCACGGTTTGAGCCACGAGAAGCTCGGCAGCACAGGAACCTGTCCACAAAAAAAAATTATATGTAGGAGAGAAGAGAAAGGTCCAAATACTGAGGTAAAAAATCTGAATTTTGGGAATAAAGTGAAAATACAATTTTGAGAACATTGGAATGTCAAAAAAATAGTCAGAATTTCACAAAAAAAGTCAAAATGTCAAGAAAGAAGACGGAACTTCACGAAAAAGCATAAATGTCAGAAAATAAGTCGGAATATCACGAAAAAAGTCAAAATGTCGGAAAGAAAGTCGGAATATCACGAAAAAAATCCAAATGTCGGGAAGAAAGTCGGAATATCACGAATAAAGTCAAAATGTCGGGAAGAAAGTCGGAATATCACGAAAAAAGTCAAAATATCAGGAAGAAAGTCGGAATATCACGAAAAAAGTCAAAATATCGGGAAGAAAGTCGGAATATCACGAAAAAGTTAAAATGTCGGGAAGAAAGTCGGAATATCACGAATAAAGTCAAAACATCGGGAAGAAAGTCGGAATATCAAAAAAAAGTCAAAATGTTGGTAAGAAAGTGAAAATATCGCGAAATGAAGAGAATTAAGTTGAAATCGATTTCCTGAAATGATTAAACACGTAGTCTAAAAATAAACACAGAAAACTGAACATGTTGTATGACAGTGTTTGTCTGTTGTGATATTCTCACACTGGACTGCAGCTCTTTCACGAGGAATGACAAGGGCTGTCCGTGCAGGTTGCCGGTCGACGTGGTCAGCGGCGTGTTGATGTCAGCGTGGGCGTCGACCCAGACGATACCCAGTTGTCCCACCGCCGCCGAGTGACCGTGAATGGAGCCGATCGCCAGACTGGAGGGAAGCATGAAAACAAGAATCAGAGACGAGAGAGATCTTCATCATGACAAGTGAAAACTCTTGGTTGGGGCACTGGTGGGGCAGTGGTTAGTGTGAGCGCGCCCTATGTACGGAGGATGTGGTCCCAGGTTCGAATCCCACCTGTGGCTCCTTTCCTGCATGTCATTCCCCACTCTCTCTCCCTGATTTCCAACTCTGTCCACTGTGTAGTCAGAAACCAGGGAGAGAGAGCGGGGAATGACATGCGGAAAGAGGCCACGGGTAGAAGTGAAGCCAGGCCTCGCGCTCGAGACGACAGCCTCAATACATGGGGCGTGCGCCCTAACCATTACGCCACCAGCGCGCCCCTAAAAAAATATATATTTGCTGATTAATGGACTAAACTGTTGGGTGATAACATCTGAAATACGACCCTCCAAGTTGTTCTGAGTGGAAGCAGGAAGTGGTATTCATCTTAAAATAGTCCCTCTGTTATTGAGCTCACTTTCTGTCTGTGATGATTGTGTCTGAGCGACGTCATGTCCTCCTGAATGAAGTCAAACTGAAGGACTCGAGTCACTCTGTACACATTAGATTAAATATAACATTCATTTATATTTCTGATTCTGTATTTGCACACGAGTGTTGTGTATGAAAGCATTTTGTATTTAAAGGTTGAAGTTCAGAGCAGTTTGTTTTGTTGGTGGATGATTGACAGACGGAGCTGAACACACACAACGGTTCATCGTTTTAACTCGTTGACTTTGAGGTTCAGGTTCAGATAGAAGACGCTCACACACTCATATCTGAGACCAGACCATCTGAGGCCCCCCGACTTGAGTATGTGAGGCCCCATAACCTTCGGCTCTGAAGCCCCCACCTGAACATCTGAGGGCCCCACCTGAGTGTCTGAGGCCCCCAACCTGACCACCTGAGGACCCATAACCTGAGGAACTGAGGCCCCCAACTTGAGTATGTAAGGCCCCCACCTGAGCATCTGAGCCCCCCACCTAAGGATCTTAGGCCCCCACTGAGGATCTTAGGCCTCCACCTGAGGATCTGAGGCCCCCGACTTGGGGGTCTGAGGCCCCCACCTGAGGATCTTAGGCCCCCACTTGAGGATCTGTGGCCCCCTCCCAACCTGAGGATCGGGGGCCCCCAACTTTAGGGCCGGCCTTTATTTGATAGGACAGTGGGTAGAGATGGAAATTGTTGGTCGCAGTCTGTATTAATTCTGTACTACACACACACACACACACACACACACACACACACACACACACACACACACACACACACACACACACACACACACACACACACACACACACACCTGTGATCTCCTCCCAGCATCACAGTCGTGTGTCCGTCCTTCTTCACTAGCTGCACCGCCTGCGACAGCCTCTGGTTGAAGCCGCCGACCGCCTTCAAGTTTTTCAGCACGCCCTCCGGCCCGTCAAGCTCCGCCTCTTCGAACGCCAGGTTCCCATAATCCTTCACTGCACATTCTGCAACACATAAACAGAACAAACATCAACATACTGCACCTTTAATACTCTGTTTCTTTAAAGTATCTACCAATCACATGAGCTCATGAAAGCTTCCCGATAGGCTGATTATTGTTTTCACAGAATGCTCTCTGTTTGAACATCAACAGGCTGCAGCTCGTGTGTGTGTGGAGGTGGTTTCATTTTGTGATTCAAAGTCAACAAAACTTACAGACAGAACAACCTGCTGCCAGTGAAACACACACACTCACACACACACACACACACACACACACACACACACACACACACACACACACACACACACACACACACACACACACACACACACACACACACACACACACACACACGTACACAGTACTGTTTGTCATTGCAGTTCCCGTTAAAGGAGTGGTCATCAAGATAAAAATAAAAAAAACACTCAAACTGAAAGTAACTTGAAATCTTGGCTGCACATCAAGAACCCAGCCGAGCAGAAAGAGGAAGCCAGAAGCCAGAAGACAGAGTGCAGAGAGAGTGCATAGAGAGTGCATAGAGTTTATTAAAACCTTCTGCTTCTGCAGCCAGCCCCTAGTGGACACTCAAGGGACTGCAGCAGAGGACAAACTAACATCACTCCATCTTGAATCTTTGTAGAAACTGATCTCAGATCTGCTCTCTCCATCTGAGTGATGTTAAACATTAAGCTTTCAGCAGCAATGCATTATGGTCTAAATCGCTCGGCTGGTGAGTAGTGATCAACGGTTGCTCATTATACTTTTTATACAATGCATCACCCCCTCCCGTTTTCCACCAAGAACTTTGGACTAAAAACTCTGTACACTCAGTTTACTGCACATTGCACATACTGCACAAGTTCACTTTTTCTTTAAATTTTATTGTATTTTATTTACTACCTTTTGCACAATTTAGAATTTATTACTGAATTTATTATTCTGGTTGTATTGTAAATATTATTTATTATTATTTTATCTATTTTTACCTTATATTATTTTACCTTATTCTGGTTGTTTGCACCGCGGGATAATAAATATAAATATTATTTATTATTATTTTATCTATTTTTACCTTATCTTATTTTACCTTATTCTGGTTGTATTGCACCGCGGGATAATAAATATAAATATTATTTATTATTATTTTATCTATTTTTACCTTATCTTATTTTACCTTATTCTGGTTGTATTGCACCGCGGGATAATAAATATAAATATTATTTATTATTATTTTATCTATTTTTACCTTATCTTATTTTACCTCATTCTGGTTGTTTTGCACCGCGGGACGGAGACAAATGAAATTTTGATTCCACTGTATGTCTGGCATATTTTGAAATTGACAATAAAGTTGACTTTGACTTTGACTTTGACTTTGACCACACGGAAGTTAGACACACACACACACACACACACACACACACACACACACAGAGACACACACACACACACACACACACACACACACACACACACACACACACACACACACACACACACACACACACACACACACACAGAGACACACACACACACACACACACACACACACACACACACACACACACACACACACACACACACACACAGAGACACACACAGAGACACACACACCTAGCTCGTGCAGTTTGGGCAGCAGTCCTGCAGCTCGGATCAGGTCCGGTCCCCTCTCGACCCCGCCGCGAGGCTGCAGAGAGGAAGAAGAGGAGGAAGAGTTACAGCTCTGACCACACCCCACACACACACACACACACACACACACACACACACACACACACACACACACACACACACACACACACACACACCTGTCCCTTGCTGAAAGGAGCTCCGATGATCCCCACAGAGCTCTTGGTGTGGAGGCTCTGTCTTCTGACAGAACAGAACTGCTGCAGAATCCTTGCGCTCCTCATGTTGACTGTCGACCCGACACGCACCAGGCCGTTGACCTGAGAGAGAGGAAGAGAGAGAGGAAGAGAGAGAGGAAGAGAGAGAGGAAGAGAGAGAGGAAGAGAGAGAGAGGAAGAGAGAGGGAGAGAGAGAGAGAAGAGGGAGGGAGGGAGACAGAGAGACAGGAGAGAGAGAGAGGAAGAGAGGAGAGAGAGAGAGAGACAGAGGGAGGAGAGAGAGAGAGACAGGAAGAGAGACAGAGAGAGAGAGAGAGAGAGAGAGTGAGGAGAGAGAGAGTGTGAGGGAGAGAGTGAGGAGAGAGAGAGAGAGAGAGAGAGAGACAGAGAGCGAGAGAGAGAGAGGAAGCGAGAGAGACAGAGAGTGTGAGGTCACTTCAGTTTGTCTACCTTCAAAATAAAAGCAGTTTGTCCAGCTTCAAAATAAAAGCATCAAACTTCAGTTTGTCCACCTTCAAAATGAAAGCACCACCCTTCAGTTTGTCTACCTTCAAAATAAAAGCACCACCATTCAGTTTGTTCTACCTTCAAAATAAAAGCACCACCCTTCATTTTGTTCTACCTTCAAAATAAAAGCACCACCCTTCAGTTTGTCTACCTTCAAAATAAAAGACGTTTGTCCAGCTTCAAAATAAAAGCATCACACTTCAGTGTGTCTACCTAAAAAATAAAAGCAGTTTGTCCAGCTTCAAAATAAAAGCATCCCACTTCAGTTTGTCCACCTTCAAAATAAAAGCAGTTTGTCCAGCTTCAAAATAAAAGCATCCCACTTCAGTTTGTCCGCCTTCAAAATAAAAGCATCACACTTCAGTTTGTCCAGCTTCAAAATAAAAGCATGACTCTTCAGTTTGTCCACCTTCAAAATAAAAGCATCACTCTTCAGTTTGTTCTACTTTCAAATTAAAAGCACCACCCTTCAGTTTGTTCTACCTTCAAAATAAAAGCACCACCCTTCAGTTTGTCTACCTTCAAAATAAAAGCAGTTTGTCCACCTTCAAAATAAAAGGTATCACACTTCAGTTTGTCCACCCTCAAAATAAAAGCATCACTCTTCAGTTTGTCCACCTTCAAAATAAAAGCATCGCACTTCAGTTTGTTCTACCTTCAAATTAAAAGCACCACCCTTCAGTTTGTTCTACCTTCAAAATAAAAGCACCACCCTTCAGTTTGTCTACCTTCAAAATAAAAGCACCACCCTTCAGTTTGTTCTACCTTCAAAATAAAAGCACCACTCTTCAGTTTGTCCACCTTCAAAATAAAAGGTATCACACTTCAGTTTGTCTACCTTCAAAATAAAAGCACCACCCTTCATTTTGTTCTACCTTCAAAATAAAAGCACCACACTTCAGTTTGTCTACCTTCAAAATAAAGGACGTTTGTCCAGCTTCAAAATAAAGCATCACACTTCAGTTTGTCTACCTTAAAAATAAAAGCAGTTTGTCCAGCTTCAAAATAAAAGCATCACACTTCAGTTTGTCTACCTTAAAAATAAAAGCAGTTTGTCCAGCTTCAAAATAAAAGCATCCCACTTTAGTTTGTCCACCTTCAAAATAAAAGCACCACCCTTCAGTTTGTCCAGCTTCAAAATAAAAGCATCACTCTTCAGTTTGTCCACCTTCAAAATAAAAGCATCACACTTCAGTTTGTCTACCTTCAAATTAAAAGCACCACTTCAGTTTGTTCTACCTTCAAAATAAAGCACCACCTTCAGTTTGTTCTACCTTCAAAATAAAAGCACCACCCTTCAGTTTGTCTACCTTCAAAATAAAAGCACAACCCTTTATTTTGTTCTACCTTCAAAATAAAAGCACCACCCTTCAGTTTGTCTACCTTCAAAATAAAAGCATCACACTTCAGTTTGTCTACCTTCAAAATAAAAGCACCACCCTTCAGTTTGTTCTACCTTCAAAATAAAAGCACCACCCTTCAGTTTGTCTACCTTCAAAATAAAAGCACCACCCTTCAGTTTGTCTACCTTCAAATTAAAAGCACCACCCTTCAGTTTGTTCAACCTTCAAAATAAAAGCACCACCCTTCAGTTTGTCTACCTTCAAAATAAAAGACGTTTGTCTACCTTCAAAATAAAAGCATCACACTTCAGTTTGTCCACCTTCAAATTAAAAGCACCACCCTTCAGTTTGTTCAACCTTCAAAATAAAAGCACCACCCTTCAGTTTGTCTACCTTCAAAATAAAAGCACCACCCTTCAGTTTGTCTACCTTCAAATTAAAAGCACCACCCTTCAGTTTGTTCAACCTTCAAAATAAAAGCACCACCCTTCAGTTTGTCTACCTTCAAAATAAAAGACGTTTGTCTACCTTCAAAATAAAAGCATCACACTTCAGTTTGTCCACCTTCAAAATAAAAGCATCACTCTTCAGTTTGTCCACCTTCAAAATAAAAGCATCACACTTCAGTTTGTTCTACCTTCAAATAAAAGCACCACCCTTCAGTTTGTTCTACCTTCAAAATAAAAGCACCACCCTTCAGTTTGTCTACTTCAAAATAAAAGCATCACACTTCAGTTTGTCTACCTTCAAAATAAAAGCACCACCCTTCATTTTGTTCTACCTTCAAAATAAAAGCACCACCCTTCAGTTTGTCTACAAAATAAAAGCAGTTTGTCCAGCTTCAAAATAAAAGCACCACCCTTCATTTTGTTCTACCTTCAAAATAAAAGCACCACCCTTCAGTTTGTCTACCTTCAAAATAAAAACACCACCCTTCAGTTTGTCTACCTTCAAAATAAAAGCACCACCCTTCATTTGGTTCTACCTTCAAAATAAAAGCACCACCCTTCAGTTTGTTCTACCTTCAAAATAAAAGCACCACCCTTCAGTTTGTCTACCTTCAAAATAAAAGCATCACACTTCAGTTTGTCTACCTTCAAAATAAAAGCACCACCCTTCATTTTGTTCTACCTTCAAAATAAAAGCATCACACTTCAGTTTGTCCACCTTCAAAATAAAAGCATCACTCTTCAGTTTGTCCACCTTCAAAATAAAAGCATCACACTTCAGTTTGTTCTACCTTCAAATTAAAAGCACCACCCTTCAGTTTGTTCTACCTTCAAAATAAAAGCACCACCCTTCAGTTTGTCTACCTTCAAAATAAATGCATTACACTTCAGTTTGTCTACCTTCAAAATAAAAGCACCACCCTTCATTTTGTTCTACCTTCAAAATAAAAGCATCACACTTCAGTTTGTCTACCTTCAAAATAAAAGCACCACTCTTCAGTTTGTCCACCTTCAAAATAAAAGCATCACACTTCAGTTTGTCCACCTTCAAAATAAAAGCAGTTTGTCCAGCTTCAAAATAAAGCATCACACTTCAGTTTGTCTACCTTCAAAATAAAAGCACCACTCTTCAGTTTGTCCACCTTCAAAATAAAAGCATCACTCTTCAGTTTGTTCTACCTTCAAATTAAAAGCACCACCCTTCAGTTTGTCTACCTTAAAAATAAAAGCAGTTTGTCCAGCTTCAAAATAAAAGCATCACACTTCAGTTTGTCTACCTTCAAAATAAAAGCATCACCTTCAGTTTGTTCTACCTTCAAAATAAAAGCACCACCCTTCAGTTTGTCTACCTTCAAATTAAAAGCACCACCCTTCAGTTTGTTCAACCTTCAAAATAAAAGCACCACCTTCAGTTTATCTACCTTCAAAATAAAAGACGTTTGTCACCTTCAAAATAAAAGCATCACACTTCAGTTTGTCCACTTCAAAATAAAAGCATCACTCTTCAGTTTGTCCACCTTCAAAATAAAAGCATCACACTTCAGTTTGTCTACCTTCAAATTAAAAGCACCACCCTTCAGTTTGTTCTACCTTCAAAATAAAAGCACCACCTTCAGTTTGTCTACCTTCAAAATAAAAGCATCACACTTCAGTTTGTCTACCTTCAAAATAAAAGCACCACCCTTCATTTTGTTCTACCTTCAAAATAAAAGCATCACACTTCAGTTTGTCTACCTTCAAAATAAAAGCATCACTCTTCAGTTTGTCACCTTCAAAATAAAGCATCACACTTCAGTTTGTCACCTTCAAAATAAAAGCAGTTTGTCCAGCTTCAAAATAAAGCATCACACTTCAGTTTGTCTACCTTCAAAATAAAAGCACCACTCTTCAGTTTGTCCACCTTCAAAATAAAAGCATCACACTTCAGTTTGTTCAACCTTCAAAATAAAAGCACCACCCTTCATTTTGTTCTACCTTCAAAATAAAAGCACCACCCTTCAGTTTGTCACCTTCAAAATAAAAGCACCACCTTTCAGTTTGTCTACCTTCAAAATAAAAGCACACCTTCAGTTTGTCTACCTTCAAAATAAAAGCAGTTTGTCCAGCTTCAAAATAAAAGCATCACACTTCAGTTTGTCTACCTTCAAAATAAAAGCACCACTCTTCAGTTTGTCCACCTTCAAAATAAAAGCATCACACTTCAGTTTGTCTACCTTCAAAATAAAAGCACCACCCTTCATTTTGTTCTACCTTCAAAATAAAAGCACCACCCTTCAGTTTGTCTACCTTCAAAATAAAAGCACCACCCTTCATTTTGTTCTACCTTCAAAATAAAAGCACCACCCTTCAGTTTGTCTACCTTCAAAATAAAAGCATCACACTTCAGTTTGTCTAGACACAGACATCCTGTACAAGAAGGGCCAATGTCGAATTCACCTGCTGAGGCGACTGAGGTCCTTTGGAGTGTGCAGGACTCTGCTACGGACTTCTTATGACACTGTGGTGGCGTCTGCACTTTTCTATGCAGTGGTCTGCTGGGGAGGAGGGAGCACAGAGAGAGACAGGAAGAGACTGAACAGACTGGGCAGGAGGGTGTTAGTACGTATTTTCATGGATTCATTCATCTTGATAATTTTGTGGACATATTAAATTGTGCACATACACTTTCAATTGTGTCAACCATCTCACAGTAATTCTTCTTTTGGGTCTGTGAAGCTGTTTAGATAGGAGCCAACTATATGTTGTCAACAACTGTTTGCTAGACAGAGAGTCTACATCTGTTACGTGTACAAA